TCTGCATTTATTTGACCAAAAATACAGTAAAAACAGTAATATTGTGAAATATTAAAATTGGAAATAACTGTTTCTGTTTTAACCTATTTAATAATGCCGCACTGATATATGTGACCCTGGAGCACAAAAGCAGTCTTAAGTCGCTGGGGTATATTCGTAGCAATAGCCAACAATACATTGTATGGGTCAAAATTATAGATTTTTCTTTTATGCCAAAAATCATTAGGATATTAAGTAAAGATCATGTTCCATAAAGATATTTAGTAAATTTCCTACTGTAAATATATCAAAACTTAATTTTTGATTAGTAATATGCATTGCTAAGAACTTCATTTGGACAACTTTAAAGGCGATTTTCTCATTATTTAGATTTTTTTTGCACCCTCAGATTCCAGATTTTCAAATAGTTGTATCTCAGCCAAATATTGTCCGATCCTAACAAACCATACATCAATGGAGAGCTTATTTATTCAGCTTTCAGATGATGTATACATCTCAATTTCAGAAAATTGACCCTTATGACTGGTTTTGTGCTCCAGGGTCACATATGTTTTAGACAACATTAAATACAATATAAATAGATCTAAAAGGATCTAGTTATTGGAGAATCAGTTGTATCATCTTTTTATGTTGTCATATTGCCCAGCAATAAAACTTGCTGTATGGTAAAGCACTGACATGACAGCACGATTTCTGAAGAAAAAAAAGTGTGTATTGTGAAAAGCACTATACAGATCAATTTCATTTTCAAATGTAATTTATACCCGTTTACTTTTTCAGCATTCTTTGTTAAATAGAAAGTTCAAAAACATGATAAATCTTTGTCTTTTTTGATGAATTTAATGGATCATTGCTGAATAAAATTATACATTTTTGAAAAAGGAATCCAAGGCACTTCTTCTGGCACTTCTAAAGGCTTTTACAAATTTTTGGACCAGAAGAAGTGCCTTGGATTCCCTTTTTTCAAAAGTTGTTTCAAACCCAACCAAAGAGCACCTTCTGGAATTACTTCACAAGGTCCTTTCCGCAAGTAGCGCTTCAAGATGTCTCCTACGGTCTGTTAAAGTATACTTTTCTTTAAAAAAAATTATGGTAGTGTATCTCATATATTAACTGTGTTTTACATGGAATTTCCAGCAAAAACAATTACATAGTGATAAATTCTGTGATATAAAATGCCTCGCCGCCCACCCCAGTGAATACTCTATGGTTCCTTACGTTTAATAGCAGGCTCTATTCAGTTTGTAAATTTGATGAGAAAGCAGGACTGACTGATTTACAGCCATTGTAGGAGTGCATGCTGGGATGTCAGCATGAATTCATTAGAGATCCCCATCTCTGCTGCTGTCAGGTCGTGTTGGACTCGCAGGGTTAAATCAGGATGATGCAGTGCCATCCTGCCCCATTAACAGCCCAATAAATGTTTCTCATGCCCCACAGAATATCGGGAAGAAGATGACGTGCCAGGAATTCATCAATAATCTGGATGGACTCAATGGAGGACAAGATTTCCCCCGGGAGCTGCTGAAGGTGCGTCTCAAACAAATCTCTCAGCGTTCCTCTTCGAGATGATGTATGAAATGATACATTGTTAAAAACCAGCTTGATACCAAAAATTTCAGAATAGAAATCAACTGCTCCAGGTCCTTTGAGCCTGGTGATATTCTACAACACACACTGCTGTGTACTTTCCCTTGTTTTCATAAGATCTGATCTTTACTAATCAGTCACCCTCAACCTGATGTTTGTGCACTTGATACAAGCTCAGGACAAAAGTGCTCTTGACTCAGATTTATTAGTAATACATGCTGTTATTGTAGACAGACATGGATATTTGGAGGCCTGAACTAATGCAGGTAGATCTCAGCAAGATTCTCTTCAAACTGCTGCTCCACCGTGACCATAGTTAAAAGAGAAAGCTGAAATAAAAATACAAAAATATTTTGTGGCGATACTAAGAATGCAGAGTGCAGTGATCCATGATGTGTGGCCAAGAAGCATCTATATTCACAATAAAACAGGACAGAAGCATCAGAGAAATTATTTGTTTCACAGCTGAGTTGTGCTACTGTCATTTACTTTTTATATAGAGTTAATTGTTTATGCAAGTGTTCAGTTCTTGAGTTGTTTGTGTCGTAAGTGATGCTCACAAAGATTTAAATGTAAGCTTTTGCTGGTGCTAATCTAAAGCCTACAATGTATTCAAGATCTAGTGTTTTTCATTTCATTCATTCTTGACCAAAAAATACACATAAAAATAGAAATATTTAATTGGTTTACCTGCCGGTCAGTGTGATCATTAACCAAGATCAGAGAACTGTGAACATGCGAATGTGCTGTTAAATTATTGAAATATTACCTTCCTCAGAGATATTTCAATGTCAGATTGGTTTAGTTGACAAAAATGTTTGGGAATCCCTGCATTATATGAACAAACATTAATAAACATGAAAACAGCAATGACATAACACGCCCAAAGTCTTCCAGGTTTTAAATATGTTTGTCCAGGTCCACTGTATATGATGACGACATAGTGTTTCACAGCTATCATCAGTGTTTAGTAACTTGCATAATTATTTGTTTCATACATGGTCTCTAATTGCTTGAGAGGTGTTTCCTCTCACATTCAGAAGCATGGTTTGCAAATTTATTACATGACGTGAATATAGTCAAAGCTAAATGGTATGATTTTTAGAAAGGAAAATTTAAAAGAGAGAAAGAAGAATTAGGCAGAATAAGTAAATTATGAATAATTTATTGCCATATTGAGTAATATGTAATCCATAAAAAAGTAACTGTAATCTGATTGAGCATTTTAAAATGTCATATACTTTAATTACAAGTACTTAATTTTTGGAAATCTGATTACGTAATTCAGATTACATGTAAGTACCCAGCCCTGACCATCAGATCTGTGGCCCACCTGCTAGACAATCTTGTCCCGTGTTTGGTCTGAAATGTCCGGTGCTGGCAGCCGAGCTCAATCAGTGACAGGCCAAAATAGCCCCGTGTGGACTCGGGCTCAAATGAGTGTGAGCTGCTAAAATCAGCGGACATAGATAATTAAATACCCCCCACCAACACCTCTTCCGGATAGTGCACACTTCCGTACACTTCACACACTAACAGGATGTGTATTGCGTGCTTAATAACTTGGCAGTGTCTTCAGTGAGCACTTTATAAGGCGTTATATAAAGCTGCACCAAAAGCGAGTGCCCTTGCCGAGCGTCTGTCGTGACTGTCCTCTGCCAACTCCATGAGCTGGCTACTTTCATGAGCTTTTTATGGCCCGCTCGCAGGTATCGCCACACTGAATGACTCACAGATCTGTCTTAATGAGAGAAGTGAAGAGTAGTGTGTACGTGTTCTTCAGGTTCATTTTGGTGTCAAATATCTCTTTTTGATGTTAGGTCAGAAGAATTCTTGTAATGGATGCTGTTAATCTAGTCTAGGTTTAGTTAGTTGAAGCAGTTTGCGTCTTTGACAGGCCTGCAAACAAGCAAACCAATCAGACAGCTTTATTACGTTCTGAGACGGCAAGGCCAGAATCATTTAAAGTTGTTTTCCAGCTCATTTCCATGGCACATTTTGAGTAAATTGTAGTGCAAGGTCAAGTTTTCAGTCACAATTTTGTTTTCTGCAGTGAAATCAGCCTGCCAAAACCCAAAATATATTGATGGATCATTTTGTCCTCCTTGCCGAGCGTCTGTCGTGACTGTCCTCTGCCAACTCCATGAGCTGGCTACTTTCATGAGCTTTTTATGGCCCGCTCGCAGGTATCGCCACACTGAATGACTCACAGATCTGTCTTAATGAGAGAAGTGAAGAGTAGTGTGTACGTGTTCTTCAGGTTCATTTTGGTGTCAAATATCTCTTTTTGATGTTAGGTCAGAAGAATTCTTGTAATGGATGCTGTTAATCTAGTCTAGGTTTAGTTAGTTGAAGCAGTTTGCGTCTTTGACAGGCCTGCAAACAAGCAAACCAATCAGACAGCTTTATTACGTTCTGAGACGGCAAGGCCAGAATCATTTAAAGTTGTTTTCCAGCTCATTTCCATGGCACATTTTGAGTAAATTGTAGTGCAAGGTCAAGTTTTCAGTCACAATTTTGTTTTCTGCAGTGAAATCAGCCTGCCAAAACCCAAAATATATTGATGGATCATTTTGTCCTTTCATTTCTTATTTGGCATCTGAAGGAACTCCGATAAATGGGTGACTGATCTGCGTAGTGCCTGCAGCACCTTTGTAGCAGAACTTAATGTTTTATGGTATTATTAGATCATAAGTTTAGGGGAAAAGTGCTTCTAATTTCTGTTTATTTCAGGTTTATGGAGCGGCTGATGGCTGATAAAATGCACATATATATTTGGGGGCTGTCAACTTATGGGATTAATAACATATCAGTAAATGATGCAGACCCTCTTTATTTATTTATAAACAAAAACAGATGGGACGTTTAATAAAAGTAAGGTTATTTGCAGTTCTTATAAATGTACACTTTGTACTCTTTGGTTTCATATGGTTTGAAAGACAAAACATACTTTTTTCAGACTTAACATCTTGAATACAAGTCATCTTGATCATAATATTAAGAAAAGTTTTTAATTATATTTTTCAAGATAAAAAGTATTTTTTGTAAATATGCATGCATGGTAGTTGTTCTAGTTGAATGTTGTTGGTTACGAATTATTGCTTTGGTTTTGCAGACAAAAGTTTGAATATTAATAACCACTGAAACTGTTTGGTTAATGTTTCTTCCTATGAAATAATACAAGAATATGCCAAAGTTTTCTTTTCAAGAGTTCTTTTAGCAAGGTTTTTTATGCACTGTGATTTAAGGGCAGTTTCATCACCCTGAGAAACATTGTGGCTTGTTAAGAGCATCTTTTCAGAACGACTGTGGAGACGGACTCAAATAAACTTGAAAGCATCAGTGTCAGTGACTGTGAAAGACTGCGTGTCTCCGTTTGATTGGCAAACACCACACACAAGGAAGAGTTTGTCAGATATCTCTTGCAGTATTAATTAGTCTCTTTTGATACATCAAATATCTAATTTCTCTGTCTGCTCTAGTTACACACTGTCATTTGGTGGCTGACCGTTTTGTATTATTGAAATGTTCGCAAGTTTAATGTTGCTGTGTTTATGATTATAGCCTTGTTTTCTAGTTGTGAAGTATGTGGCTGATCATCTTAGAGACAAGATGGCGGCGCATGCGCATCACGAGGCTCAGCATCTTACCAGATTTCGGAAAATAGTTTTAATTTGCCTGGTTATTTCCTATGTGTTCGCACGATTCAGTTGTGCGAACTACACCTGCAGCAAACAATCACTTTTTGGACATCAACAAATGGTGCTCCAACATAGTTTTGGATCATCCTTTCGACTTCGGCGAACTCCCTCCAGAGCTACAAATATTACCGCGGACAAGTGGATCACTCACACCGACCGGAAGTGTTTGGCGTCAGCACCGAGATCGTAAACAAACATGGGGGAGGAGTGGAGGGCTGCGTGCTAAGCAAGCGGTCTCTCTCTTGAAACCAACACGGAAGTGACTTAAACTGCAATTCATCGACTGGCCGCTAGAGACTGGCTCCAAAAGAGAGTCAATCCCATAGACCCCCCATGTTAAAATGCCCAAGTTTACAGCAGAAAAAAATATGTTTACAGCCTGGTTCAAAAAGTGGTTTTGGTCTATATAGCTCATTTTGCCCTTCATGACAACTGTGTGGGGGTGAATTTTTTTTATAACTCATCCGTTTAAATTATATTAAGCCTTAAAGTTCTGTATAATTAAGGGCGTGGCCACTTGAGTGACAGGTGGATTGCTGTCACCACCGTCGAGCTAGGTAAGTGTGGTTTCAGCAACCAGCTCCATCCATCCACGTCCCGCCTCTTTGTCCATTTTCGATTATCCACGCTGGCAAAATGGTGACGGTCACTTTGGGCTTAAAAAATGCTCTTCAGAAACCTACGGGTGACGTCACGGACACTGCGTCCATGTTTTTATACAGTCTATGGTGCTAATCTAAGACTAAACCCACACCGGCCAGCTCTACCCAGCATCTTCCTTGCCAATGTACGGTCTCTGATAAACAAGCTGGACGAACTGAAGATCTGGACCCTCACACAGAGATGGCTTATGGACTGTAATGTCGTGTTCTTCACTGAAGCCATGTCCAGTGAGTTTTTCCTTCTTCCATTTAAAAAAATCTCCGTCCACGTGAATACGCAAAAGCATGCTATGAAGCACTGTCAAGAGCATGCCAAGCCAACAGGTGGCGATATAATCTAAACCGTAAAGCCATGTTGGCCAATCAGAAGCCTGAAAAAGTTTCCAGTAGGTGGAGATAACAGCGCATGCTCCGACATCACAAGCCAAAATCTCTGGCTTCGTTGTCTACACGATAACACTGCAACCAGAGTTTTTGAAAATCTTCACCTTCACAGAGTTTTCAAAAATGTTCGGCTTCAGTGACCTGGTGCTGCGTTTGCGTGTGGACGAACGGCCAAACCGCATAGAAAAAGCTG